TTTTCTGAAGAAGGGTCCAGACCCGAAACGTCAGCTTTCCTGCTCCTCTGATGCTGCCTGGCCTGCTGTGTTCATCCAGCTCCACACCTTGTTATCTCAGACTCCAGCATCAGCAGTTCCTACTATCTCTGAATGTTCCCTGTAAGTTGCGTGCATACAAGGCTAAGTACCAGGAAAAAAAACAACCTGCACACACCTTCCAGTCATCTATGCACTGAACGGCCTATGAAGGAATTCTCCCCAGATATCCATGTAGGATGTTCATGAGGGCCGCGTATGGATGCCGTGTGAATTCCAGGATCCTCCTCTTGCCAGATTAAAGCCTTGTCCTTTTACTCAGCCATGCAATTGTTTTCAGCTCCAGACAAATTTTAAAAACTTGGCTGTCAAAGCAGGCACTGGGAAGGGGAAGAAGCCAGGTCACATCACATTCAATCAGGGCCTCAGGTCGAAGGCTGTAGGAACAGAGTTTCAGAGTCCTGGGGAGTTTACAGTTTTCTCATCAGTGACCAGGAGGATCAGGCATAAGGTCCAAGAAGCAGATAGCCATTCAAGAACAAAGTTACATTTCAATCTCATGTTTTAAATCTTTGTTTTCTTGGTAAGTTTAAAGTATGTCCCGTTGAAAATCAGATGAGTCTTCAAGCTCCTTAAAAAAAGAAATCTTATGCACATTTCAAAAGAGAATGGCTTTCCAAGATCATCAAAACCAAAATGCCATCTTCAACACAGAAGCAGAACATATGAATTGGTGAAATTTGTACTTACCATGAAACGGATGATATTGAATGCACTATTTGCTCGAAAGGAAATGCTGGAGGTAGTTCAGCACTAAGGAAAAGGGGCTGAATCAGAAATAGATGACTTAAAGTGGCATTTGAGCAGATGTGCACACAGAAGCTGCTATTTGTTTATGAAATAAAAACAAAGGTGGAATTTTATGAGTGCTCACCAAAACAAAAGGAGATTGAGAGGTGAGGGTAGAAGTTACGGAGAGGAAAAGACCAATTCTGATATGGTGAAAGCTCTCATTGATAATGTTGTACTTGCAGTAAAGATGAATGCTTTTGGTGCAAAACATTCAGAATCACATAGCATATTTCACACCAGTTGCTGAGAGCTGGCACAGCAAAAATTACACCTTTGACTTTTTAGGGTGTATTAGTTTTGTTATACAGAGTTAGGAGAAAAATTACCGTGTGCAGATCTGTAATTGTGAAGTAATGTAAATGCATGCTTTTAATCATTAATAAACAAACTTTAAAAAAATTGCTGTATGGCTACTGTGCAATGAATGCAGTGTGCTGCTTAGACTACTTCGGGTTCCACAGAAGGCCCTGAAAAATTAGAGAGAATTCTAATGCCAGGCCAGTCACCTGAGTCGACCAGAAAACTGGTTCCATCATTATTAAGTGTTCACTTATGAAGACAGCCGTGGAGGCTGTAAAATGGTCTTGGGCAGTTAGGGATGGAATTAACATTGAAGTCCAAGGTATTTTATCATTGCAAGTCTTCTCAACTTATTTATTCTTTTGGTAACTTTCTCAGTTTTCTATCTTTGACATCTTTGTCCTTTCTGCTCACTTTGTTTTGAATGCTGCAGTTTCTTTCCTCTCTTACTGGAATGTTTGCTTAGATCCGACTGTCCCCTAAGGCCTTACTTCAATTTATAGGAGGTATGGACTTGCCTATAGGAATCGGCTTTTATGTTAAGGTGCCAAATTACACGTCTGTTTCTCATATCTCCTGCTTTCTGATCTCTCCCTGAAACTCTTGTCTGTCTACCTGAACTTGCCATTTGTTTCTCTATTTATTGCTCTCTTTCATGATTAAGTTTTTTTTTGAAAATTGAGAGCAGAGGTACACTATGTAGTTCCTTGAATCTGTTTCGCCATTCAAAAAGATCATGGCTAAATGTCCACTTCAGCTCCACATTTCCAGTATATCTCCATATCCTTTCATCCTCTTAGGGTATAGACATGTATTTATCTCATTAAGTCCATGATACAAAATTCCCAAGGTTCGCAGCTCTCTAAGTGAAGTCTCCAACCCTCAAACTCCTCTTGATCACCACTAAATGGCTTATCTTGACACTGTCGCCCAGCTAAGGCTCTCGAGGCAGGAAAAACAGCTTGTCAACATCAGTCCTGTCAAACCTGCTACATCTCAATGGAGTCACCTAATTTATCCTTCTAGATCAGCCTCTCCATCTCTCATCCTTGAAATCAATTTAGTGAACACACCTCGTAGAGCAACTGTATCCTTCCATAGGTACGGAGCCTAGAACAGTACCCAGTGCTGTGGTGGGGTTTGGGGGATGTGGTCTTGCCAAAGCCTTATATTTGGAGCAAGATTTCCTTATTCTTCCAATCCTCTCCCCTTGCAATAAAATCTAATGTTTCATTGCTCTACCATTTGTTTGCTGTACCTCCATGTTGACTTTTCTGATTCATAACAAGGTGACTTCACTGTAATACTAATTTATTCCATATCCTTCACCATGACATTGAGATTACAAACAGTCTTGCCCCACAATGTTCATTGTAGTTCATTGTGATATAGTCTACATTCTCTCCTTTTTTTTAATCCTACCTAGCTTTGTATTATCAGGAAACTGAATTACATTGTGCTTTGCACCCTCAACTGAGTATTTTTTACTGAGTTCAAGTTCCAAATCAGCCATGGTGGAATTAGAATGCTTGCCCCTTAAATATTAGTATAGGTTCCTAGATTACTCCTCCAGTGACATTGTCATTATGCCATCACCTCTCCTGGTGTGCCCTTAGCTGAGCCATTGATATTAATTGTCAACAGCTGAGACTCAAGCACTGATTCTTGTAACACCCCACTAGGTATAGCCTGTCAATCTCAAGATGACTTATTTATTCTTACTGTTTGTTTCCTTTCCATTAACAAGCTTCAATTAATGCTGAAATATTATCGCCAATTCTTGGGGTCCTAATGTTTTGTAACAGCTGCTTGTGTGTCATCTTTTTGAATGTCTTATAAAAATCTGTACATCCAGTATTATCCTTTATCCAGTCTGCTAGTTACACCTCATAAAGCTGAAACAGATTTGTCCATCATTATGCTCTTTCATAATACCACATTGATTCTGTCTAATTATGACTTTTTCAAAGCGCTTTGTTGCCACATCTTCAGTGATAGATTCTAGCATTTTCACAGCTATTGATGTCAGAGTAGTTTGTACCTTATATAGTTTCTTGTTATCTCCTTTTCTTAAATGACAGATTACATTTGCTAATTTCCAATCTACAAATAGTGCATTGCACAGATATCTGCTTTTCTCTACTCCTTCTGAACCAGATGTCCTCATGAGTGAGACAGTCATTTTTTAAACAGGGATTCTGATGCTTTAGCTAACTCCTTACCTAAGAATTTTGAAGGAGAAACTCTTCAAATATTCTCCAGTGAATTTACATTCTGCCATGGTTCTTCAGTTGTTTTTTATATCTACGTTCATGTTTTTCCATCTTTGCACAGGCCATAAGAAAGCGCCAGCTGACTAATCACATTGTTATCAGTGAATTGATTCTACCACTTCCTGCAGAGGGACTGAACGTGACTTGTAATGGCAGCAACGAACATGGGAGTAAGACTCACAACTCCGTAGTACATAGAGGTAAGAGTCTAATCACAGTTCATCTAGGATTGGATTGAAGTGTTAACACCAACAAAGTGAAGCATTTCTCTGAAAATGACCCTGTGAATTTTCTCTTCTCGGCACTGTTAGGGGTCTCACTTGTGCTGAATCTTAGTTTTGTCGGTGCTGGTTACTCACAGCTCCTCACCCAGATGACTATCTTAATGTGTAAACCTAGATAATAACTTTCAGTAGATTGCACAACCAAAGGAAGCATCACACCAGAGCTAATCCTGTTTACATCCGATAGCTACTCGTTCACTCTTTCAGAAGTATTACTGATTGGGAATTGGGAGTAAGACTGGAAGGTGGAATTCTTCACCAATCTTGGGGAAGAATCAGGGTGTAAAAGGTACTTGTAATGTGGTTAGGGTTTTTGCCTAGGGATTCCTAATTTTTCTAAGGCTGTACCTGTCCTGGGAGTGTTTGATGGAGACAGTGTACAAGTATTGAAACTTGGACAATACCTGTTCTGGAAGTGTTAGCTACCAAATGTTTTGTGTCTGCAACCCCATTTTTAGGCTTGAAAATTATCATGACCCCTCAATGAGAACTGAGTGCAGGAGGGCAGCTGCACAGCTGTTATAACTGAGTCAGATCTTCATGGCCACCATTGCTGCCTCAAAGCTCACAACCCCAGAATTTCAGCTCCACCTTGCTACTTGATGTTGTAGGACCTTTACTTTGTAACCCCGCACTGTATCTGTCCTGGGATTGTTTGATGGGCACAGAGTAAAGGAGCTTCACTCTGTATCTAAATCTGTGCTATCCCAATCCTGGAAGTGCTTGATGGGGACTGTAGAGGGAGCTGTACTCTAAATTTAACCCTGTGTTGCACCTGTCCTGGGAGTGTTTGATGGGGACATGTAGAGGGATCTTTACACTGTATCTAACTCCATGCTGTACCTGTCTTGGGGGTGGTTGATGGGGACAGTTAGAGTGAGCTTCACTCTATCTAATCCTGCATAGTACCTTCCCTGGGAGTGTTTAATGGCGACAAGGCTTTATTCTGTATCTAACCACATGTTGTATCTGCCTGGGAAATGCTTCATGGCATATATTCTCTGTAACCTACACACTGCATTCTCTGCCATTTTCAAACAATAATTCTGTGTGTGAAAAGTCAATAAAGTGCTCCTTTCCCCACCCTTCCTGCTTCTTTTTTTAGGTACACCGTGGGGTCACTTAATGATTCTTTATTTCCTCGTTTTCAGAGTCAATGGCAATTTCAACAAAAGGGCCTCCTATTGCTGGTAAGAATCAGCTAATGTGAACCACTTTATCACGCAATACTGATTAATTCATAGAATCATAGAGCTGTACAGCACAGAAATAGACCCTTCGGTCCAATTCGTCTGTGCTGACCAGATATCCTAAATTAATCTAGACCCATTTGCCAGCAATTGACCCATAAACTCCTAAACCCTTCCTATTCATGTACCCTTCCAGATGCCTTTTAAGTGTTGTAATTGTACCAACCTCCACCACTTCCTCTGGCAGCTCATTGCATACACGCACCACCCTCTGCGTGAAAAAATTGCCCCTAAGGTCCCTTTTAAATCTTATCCCTCTCACCTTAAACCGATGCAAGATACTTGTAAAGATTTATCCTTAGAACAGATGGTTGTTCCATTTCCCGAGATCTCATTAAAATCACCTCAATTTGCTTGGATTGTATATTAAGCTTCTGAATTAATATATTAGCACTGTGATTAGAATAATGATGGAGGTCTTGGAGCTGAGAATAGTGTGAGTCCAGGATCTGTTTTTGGAAACTAATGATATATCACACTAAAGGTGAATTGAATTTTTTTTCTATACTTTCTTTCTCTATCCTTCACAGAGTTGGTTTTTAACCTCTTTCTTTGCTTTTGAAATAGAACTTGATGTGCTTGCCCCTAAAATCTCAATGAAATCCTATTCGTAAATGGTTTGAATATACTCTGTTTAGGCTTGTAGCAAAAACGATAGTTGATTCAACCACTCAACCCAAAGCAAAATTCACAATACATCCACACAGCACAACTATACAATGTTGCTAAGTTGGGTATAGTATTTGTGGTTTGGAAGGCCAGACGTTAGAACTTGTTTGTAAAATGATAAGGGAAAGAGTGTGTGGTTCATTTAAAAGATGTGTGTTTTCTAGGCTTGCAGGCAGCAGCAGATGCACAGAGTTCTTGAAATTGAAACATTTTATCAGAAGGCTATACTGTTAACAGGAAAGCAACATTTTTACCAAGACAACAGGTTTTTGAATTTAGCCGATTAATTTAAACCAGGCCCTAGATACCAAAACCCTATTAAATTTAAATCTAATGGTGTTGACAGCCTAGGACCAATCCTGTTTTAAGAAATTGATAGGTATAAAAAAAGAGGTTATTTGAAAATCGGGGTGATAACAAACTTCCGTGTTAAGAGAACAGCTCTCAACAGCCATCAGCTCTAAAGAAAGAGAACATCACTGGCTCTCAGAAAATCTATAAGATCTTAGAGTAAGCACCATCTAAATAAAGATACTATGGCACTCTTAGTTAATATTCTTGAAACAAGAATTCAATGGAGAAAGGTGTTCCTGAATGGAAAACAGTGGAGAAGGCAAAAAACCTTCCAGAAAACTTAACCCGGCTGTAATTTCAAGAGACTAAATTTTAATGTATTTTTTTCTTATTACTTTAGTTTATATAAGTGAGACTTGTATTTATTGGAACAGCATACCATTAGAATTTTGTTTTATTTGGGAATAGTTAGTAGTTAAAGGGGGAATTGTTCAGTTTGTTGGTAGTTTTGTTAATTTGTTCACTGTTAGAGTTAGATAAATAAATTGTTACTTGTTTATAAAATGATTATCAGGGAGTTCATTCCATTTAACCATCTCCTCCATAACCACAAAGAGAAAGAGGACTAAAGGAAAACCTACAATAATGAATTATTTTAAAAATGACATTAATTCACATAAATTAGAATCCAGTAAATCAATGTCCAGTGAAGTTTTAAAGTTGACTAATCTGGCAGAATTTCTCCTTGTAGGAGTTTAAAAACAGGTAGATTGCTGTGCCTTCCACTGCAATGTATTTCTTGCAGGCTGGGAAACGGGTTCATTTCTTTGCAAAATACAGAATTATTTCCAGAAATCATACTTCAAGTGAGGTAGAGACTAGTGTAGGCATCAGCTATGCCTGGAACTGCTTTGTGTGCTCTCTTCTGGTATAGAAACCACATTGATGAAATAAGGCAAAGCTGTCTCATTAAAGTTGATTTTTAAAAAGCAGCAGTTTCAGTCACATGACTCCAGCTCTGGGTTGAGGCACTCTGCAAATAATACAGATGAACTAGAGAGGCCATCAGTACCACCTCATACATAGTGTGTTTCCGTGGTTTCTTTTGTTCTGAACTGGCTGAGGTAGCTTTTTTGTCCAGCTTTCTTAGTGTTGGCTTTCCTAGAATGTCTATACAATGTAAGGAGTGTGACATTTCATGAAGGTGATATAAACTCAGATCTATTGTTAGACAACTAGCAGGAGATTGTTTGTTAGTAATCTGTACAGTGTTTCACTTTACTGTTCAATGCTTGTTATTGGACACCATCATGATAGCATATTTGTTTCATCTTACCCTGAGTGAGAAACTGACAATCTGACATGAGCAAGAAAGTGTCTTATTTCCAACAAATTCTGCTAGAGTCAAATTGAGAAATCAAATGACTGGAATAATTGGACGGCTGTACGGTAGTATAACCTCAGCAAAGGATACAAGCATTACCTACCATTGTTTTAGACATGTATCACAACAGATCTATGATACAGCTTCACCTTTGTTTTGTTCATTCAGTGAAATTTATAAAATATCTCTGGCTCAGGATGCTATCAGAATCTCAAACTGCTCTAACTAATTTGCTGAGATTTTTTAAAGAGATAACAGGTTTGATGAATGCATTGCAGTTGATGTGATATGTGATATGCATAGACTTTTATAGACTTTACAGTGCCACACAACAGATGTGTGAGCAAATTAAAAGTAAAAGGAATAGTCACATCACAGATACAAAAATTGGCTGAGCAACAGGAAAGAGCATGGTGGTTTTTAGGTTAGAGGAAAGTTTGTAGTAGCATTCCTAATGGATTAATGTTGGACCCCAATCTTTTCCTGATATATATTAATGAAAAGTCAATAAAGTGTTTCTTTCCCCACAGCACCCTTTCTGCTTTTATTTTTAATGTACACTGTGGGGTCACTTAATGATTCTTTATTTCCTCCTTTTCAGAGTCAATGGCAGTTTCTACAAAAGGGCCTCATATTGCTGGTAAGAATCAGTTAATGTGAACCATATCAAACAATACTGATTCGTTCATAGAATCATAAGAACATAAGATCTAGGAGCAGGAGTAGGCCATCCGGCCCCTCAAGCCTGACCCACCATTTAATAAGATCATGGCTGATCTTTTTGAGACTCAGCTCCACTTACCTGCCCATTCACCATAACCCTTAATTCCTTTACTGTTCAAAAATTTATCTAGCCTTAAAAACATTCAGCGAGGTAGCTTCAACCGCTTCACTGGGCAGGGAATTCCACAGATTCACAACCCTTTGGGTGAAGACGTTCCTCCTGACCTCAGTCCTACATCTGCTTCCCTTTATTTTGAGGCGATGCCCTCTATTCCTAGTTTCACCTGCTAGCGGAAACAACCTCCCTGCCTCCACCTTTATCTATTTCCTTCATAATCTTATATGTTTCTATAAGATCTCCCCTCATTCTTCTGAATTCCAATGAGTATAATCCCAGTCTACTCAGTCTCTCCTCATAATCCAACCCTCTCAACTCTGGAATCAACCAAGTGAATCTCCTCTGTACCCCCTCCAGTGCTAGTATATCTCTTCTCGAGTAAGGAGACCAAAACTACACACAGTACTCCAGGTGTGGCCTCACCAGGACCCTATACAGCTGCAGCATAGCCTCCCTGTTTTTAAACTCCATCCCTCTAGCAATGGCAGACAAAATTCCATTTGCCTTTTTAATTACCTGCTGCACCTGCAATCCTACTTTTAGCGATTCATGCACAAGGACACCCAAGTCCCTCTGCACAGCAGCGTGCTGCAATTTTTTACCATTTAAAACATAGTCCATTTTGCTGTTATTCCTACCAAAATGGATGACCTCACACTTATCAACATTGTACTCCATCTGCCAGACCTTTGCCCACTCACTTAGACTATCTATATCCCTCTGCAGACTTTCAGTGTCTTCTGCACACTTTGCTCTACCACTCACCTTAGTGTCATCTGCAAATTTTGACACACCACACTTAGTTCCCAACTCCAAATCATCTATGTAAATTGTAAACAATTGTGGTCCCAACACTGATCCCTGAGGCACACCACTAACCACTGACCGCCAACCAGAAAAACACCCATTTACCCCTACTCTTTGCTTTCTACTGGTCAACCAATCCTCTATCCAGCCAGTACATTACCTGTAATACCATGCAACTTTACCTTATGTAGCAGCCTTTGGTGTGGCACCTTTTCAAATGCCTTCTGGAAATCCAGATACACCACATCCACAGACTCCCTATTGTCCACCATGCAAGTAATGTCCTCAAAGAATTCCACCAAATTAGTTAAACACGACCTACCCTTCATGAACCCATGCTGGGTGTTCCCAATGGGACAATTTATATGCAGATGTCTTGCTATTTCTTCCTTAATGATAGCTTCAAGCATTTTCCCCACTACCGAAGTTAAGCTAACTGGCCTATAGTTACATGCTTTTTGTCTACTTCCTTTTCTAAACAGTGTCAAAGAGTCCATGATCTAGACTTTAATGCAAAGGACATAATTTCGAAGTTTGAGGATGATAAAAGAAAACTCATAGGAGAGTGTAGAACTTCAAAAGGACATAATTAGTGGAATGAGTGGATATGTAGCAGGTGAAGTTCCACAGAAAGAAATGTGAAGTGATCCATTTTGGTAGGAAGAGCGAGGAGAGAAAAGGGTACAATAGCAGAAGCACCTGGATGTGTATAGCATGAGATTCTTGAGTAGCATGAATAAGTCATTAAATGTGGCAGGACAGGTGGACAGAACAGTTAGTAAGGAATATAGAATTCTAGAATTTAAAGAATAGGGGCACAGAGCAAGAACTGGAGCAGACCATTGAGTCTTCTCTGCCTCTCAATAAGATCACGGCTGTTCAATGACCTAAAACCATATGTTTGCTTTGGCCTACATCCCATGCTTAATAAAAATTGTCTAGCTCAGATTATAAATTTAACAATTGAATGAGCATCGGCTGCCATTTAAGGAAGAAAATTCCAAATCTCCACTATCCTTTGCATGCAGAAATCCTTTCTATCATCTCTTCTGAATGGCTTGGCCCTAGTTCTTTAACTATGTTTCTCGTTCTAGAATCTTCAACCGGTAGAAATTTTTTATTTTTATCTGCTCTGTCTTTCCCTGTTAATATCCTGAAGACTTCAGTTGGATCACCCTTTAACCTTCTAAATTATAGAGAATAAAGGCCTAATTTGTTTAATCTCCCCTGATAACTTAACCCCTGAAATCCAGGTATCATCCTTGTGAGCCTGCATTTAATTCCTTCCAGGGCTAAAACATCCTTCCTAAGATGTGGTGCCCAGATCTGCTCACAGTATTGTAAGTGGGGTCTAACTAGGGTTTTGTATAACTGCAGCATAACGTCTGCCTCCTTATACTGCAGGCCTTTAGAAATGAAGAACAGCATTCTGTTAGCCTGCACGACTATTCTCTGTTCCTGTGTGGGGCATGTTAAACAGCTGTCTACCTGAACCCCCAAATCTCATTGGACATCGACAGCATTTAACTTTGTGCATTCTAAGAGAAAAATACCCTGATCTATTCTTTACCGAAATAGTCCAGCGATAATACCACTAGACCATCTGCTAATCTAGAGACCCAGATAATGTTCGGGGGACCTGGGTTCGACTCCCACCACAGCAGATGGTGGAATTTGAATTCAATAAATATCTGGAATTAAGAGTCGAACGATGACCATGAATCCATTATCAATTGTTGGAAAAACCCACCTGGTTCACTAATGTCCTTTAGGGAAGGAAACTGCCATCCTTACCTGGTCTGGTCTACATGTGACTCCAGACCCACAACAATGTGGTTGACTCTTAACTGCCCTCTGGGCAATTAGGGATGGACAATAAATGCTGCCTAGCCAGCGACGCCCTCATCCCGTGAATGAATTTTTTTAAAAATTCGCTTATAATTAAAATCCATCTGCCACAGCTTTGCCTTTCACCTAATTTATCAGTATCCTGTTGTAATTTTATATTGTCATCAACAGGGTCCACAATGCTGCCCTTTTTTTTGGTCAGGAAATTTGGATATTTGTCATTTTATGCCATTATCCAAGTCGATAATGAATATTGTGAATAATTGAGGCCCCAACACAGATCACTGTGGGACACCATTACTCACATCCTGCCAATTTGAGTACTTATCCATTATTCCAACTGTTTTCCTGCCGCTCAAACAATTTCCTATTCATGTTAGTAACTTGCCCTCAATTCCATGGGCTTCCATCTGAGCTAACAGTGTCTTGTGTGGGACTTTATCACAAGCCTTCTGGAAGTCCTTATAAACAAAATACCTTTGTCCACCACCTTTTGTCAGCTCTTCAAAAAAACTGAGGTTTGTCAGGTATGAATCCTGACTCTTCTTAAATCCATGCTGGCTCTCTCTGACTAAATGAATTTTTTTATTGAGATGATCAGTTACCTTGGTCTTGATTTATAGACCCTAGATTTCCCCAGCACAGATGTTAGGCTAACTGGTGTCTAATTAGCTGGTTTCCCTCTGTCACCCTTCTTAAAGAGCAGAGGGATATGAGCAAATTTCCAAGAACAAGGGTAGGATGGTTATACTGAACCTGTATAACATTCTAGGTCAACCTCAGCTAGACTGATAGGTCCAGTTCTGGCTGTCACACTTTCACAAGTATTTGTCAACATATGGGTATAAAAGGATCCCTAGGATGGTTCCATGGATGAAGAACTAAAGTTATGAATGAAAACTGGAGAAGTTAGGACTACTTTTCCCCAAGACTTGAAGCACGAGAGGTGATTTGACGGTAGTATTCAACAATCACGAGTGATCGGGACATAGTACATAGGGAGAAACTGTTTGTGTACAGTTTCTGTATTCCTTATTTAAAAATGGATATAAATGTCATAGAAACAGTTGACAGAGCAGGTTCACCTGGATGGGGCTAGTGCTTATCTTATTGGAAAAGGTTGGTCAAGTATCCCTTGAGTTCAGGGGGATACAGGATCCTATTCACACACAAGATCCTGAGAAAACTTAACAGGGTATATCCTGAAAAGGATATTTCCCTTGAGGGAGAGAGTAGAACTACAGAACATGATTTATTTTAAGAAAAGGGTCTTCCATTTTTGATCAAGAAGAAAAATGATTTCCCTGAGGGCCATAAGTCTTTGCTTAAAGGTGGCAGTGTCACATTCAACTGAAACATTCCACCCTCGGGCGACTGTGTGGAGTTTGCACATTCTCCCTGTGTCTCAGTGGGTTTCTTCCCACAGTCCAAAGATGTTGGGGCTATGTGGATTGGCCAAAATAAATTGCCCATAGTGTTCAGGGATGTGTAAATTAGGGGGATGGGTCTGGTTGGAATGCTCTGAGGGTCAGTGTGGACTTGTTGGGTCGAAGGGCCTGTTTCCTCACTGTAGGGATTCTATGATCTATGAAGGAGGTTATCTCGGAGTAGAATGGGACCTTGATCAGATGGGCAAATGAGCCAGAGTGGCAGATGAAGTTTAATTTAGACAAATGTGAGGTGTTGAATTTTGCTAAAGCAAATCAGGGCAGGACTTATACACTTCATGGTCTTGGGGGTGGGGGTTAACGTTGCCAAACAAAGAGAGGTTGGGACTCAGGTTCATAGTTTCTTGAAAGTGGAGTCACAAGTAGACAGCATAGTGAAGACAGCTTTTGGTACGTGACTTAATTGGTCAGTGCATTGAGTATAGTTGGGAGGTCATGTTGTGTCTGTACAGGATATTGGTTCGTCCATTTTGGAATACTGCATTCTATTCTGGTCTTCCTGCTATAGGAAAGATGTTACTGTGAAATTGAAAGCAAGAAAAGGATGTTGCGAGGTTTGAGCTATAGGGAGAGGATGAATAGGCTGGGGCTATTGTCCCTGGAGCATCAGAGGCTGAGGGGTGACCTTATAAAGGTTTATGAAATCATGACAGGCATAGATAGGGTGAATAGCCAAGGTGTTTTTCTCAGGGTAGGGGAGTCCAAAACTAGATGACATGGGTTTAAAGGTGAGAGGGGAAAGATTTAAATGGAACGGAGGGCAGTGTTTTCATGCAGGGGGTGCTGTGTGTATGGAACGAGGTGCCAGAGGAAGTAGTGGAGACTGGTATAATTACAACATTTAAAAGGCATCTGGATGGGTATATGAACAGGAAGGGTTTAGAGGGATATGGGCCAAATGCTGGCAATTGGAACTAGATTAATTTAGGATATCTGGTCAGGGTTGGACAAGTTAGACCAAAGGATGTGTTTCTGTGCTGTACAATTCTACACAGAGTCTAATATCACAAATACTTCCTCTTGTATTGAGCATCATTGATAACAACCAACAAAGAGTCAAGGACATGATTAGACATGATTGACTGACTGAACAGAGGTTCAAACGTCAGCAATCAGAAAACAAGAGTCTCCTCCATTATTAAGGAGCTGCAGTGTTTTGTGGGGAGAATCAGCTGGTTCTCTGTCAGCAACCTGTACCTCATCCAGTCTTCTGTTTATCCAGGGAAGACTCAGAGAGGGAGCAGCGGTGGAATGTTGATAGTCGTCATCATTGTGTGCATCATTCTTCTTGCCTTCCTGGGTGCTGTCCTGTACTTCCTGTACAAAAAAGGAAAGATCCCCTGTGGCCGTTCAGGGAAACAAGACATGTGAGTCTCCAGGCTTTCCTAAGAGGGTGGATGTGAGAGCAAGAATTTATTTGTAGGAGTGTGTATGTGAAAGGATGCATGTGAGAATGTGTTGTCACTACCCACTGGGGTAGTGCAGTGGAAATCAAGCCACACTATTCGAGTTGTTGTGAAATATGAAAAAATGTAGTCAAACTATCCAAAGTCCCTGATTAGCTGACTGACAATATCAGGTTTCTGAACTTAACGAGAAAAGAATTTTATTATGAACAAATTGTCTTTTTAATCAATAGCAAAAGGGAAATAGGAATTGCTGTCTTAACTCATACTCTACCCATTCTTAAATTCCTCCTTTCTATGTTTTTTTTGTATCTGTCTGTCAGTAACAGTGGAAAAGGGAAAAATAAATTGGGAAAACATAACTTGATTGCACCTGTCTCAACCACAGGAAGTGGTGAGTTGTTTCTTCCACAAAAACAAAATCAAGCAGGAATGTGAGTTGTGTGTAGAAGGCGAAGACATCGCTGTGCTTTAGAGAAGTTGAGTGAGTGGACAAACGCATGGCAGGACAGTTCAAAGTGGCTCCTGTGAAGTTATACACTTCAGTGTAAAGAACAGAAGAGTGTTACTAAAATGTAATATGTTGGGAAGTGTGGATGTACAAAGGGATTGGGTACTTTTGTATACCAGTTAATGAAAGTAGACAGACAGGTGCAGCAAGCAATGAGGAAGCCAAATGGTACATTGGCCTTCATTGCAGAGGATTTGAGTTCAGAAATAGGGGTGTCTTACTGCAGTTTTATAAAGCCTCAGTGAGACCTTACCTGAAAAAATTGTATGCAATTTCGGTCTCCCTCCCTAAGAAAGGATTTACTTGCCATAGAGGGAGTGCAATGCAGTTTCAATAGGCTGATACCAAGGATGGCAGGACTGTCTTATGAAGAGAGATTGATTAATTGGGCTTATATTTACAAGTTTAGAAGGATGAAAGGAGATCTGATTGAAATGTATAAGATTTTAACAGGGCTGGATGGACTAAACCCAAGGAAGTTTTTTTTTCCCCTGGTTGGGGAGTCTAGAAGCAGGGGACACAGTCTCAGGCTACAGGAGGTTAATTTAGGACTAAGATGAGGAAAGATTTCTTCACTCAAAGGGTAGGGAACCCAAAGTTTTCTCCACCACAGAAGGCTGTGGAAGTCTAGTCACTGAATATACTGAAGAAAGAGAGATAAATTTCTAGAGTTTAAAGGCATCAAAGGATAAGTGAAGAAAGCAGGAATCTATTGAATGGCGGAATAGGTTCAAAGGCCGTGTGGACTCTTGTGCTCCACATTTCTATGTTGCAGTTTGTTCCCATTCCTTTTAGTTCTTTGGTTGTTGACACAAGGTTGTTTGCACACTGATGTTCAGTCTTTCATTCATTGACAAAATAAATTCTTGACCAATGTGTTTTATTCCTCCTTCAACAGGGATTTTTGAAAGGATGGTAAGTGGAGGAGACTTTCTGGTACCTCCGCACAAGAAAGACAGAAAAAGGTTTTTTTTGCAGACGAAAGGTTTCTCTGCTGCACTGGCCCCAAGAGTCTCCTGGCTAACAGCCAATCAAAATATGGTTGTCAAGCTGTTAATTATTTTTAAAATTGCAGCCATTTCTTTGCATAGTCCCCTTGGTTTAAAGTAGTTTTTTTTTTAAATTCAGTCTTAAAAGTAGAAGGAAATAAATAAATATAGTCTTTACAGAATGTGTGTCTGAGAAAGAAACAGTGAGTATGAGTGATATACATGTGTATGAAAGAGACTGTGTGGCAATAAACTAATTTTATGTATATATGTTGCAAATATGATCTAAACTTGTACATATTCATGTTTCACGTTGCTCCTCACTCTGCACAGTATTCAATTGTAACCAGTGTCCTGATGGCAGGCCATCGATAAATTAACAAGCAATTTTGTTTAGCACACGGACAGATGGTCAGGACGATGTTGTTGTAGAAGTTAAAAATGACCAGAAGGCTCCAGAAGAGACAGTACTTCTACAAGGCGTTAATGGAGAGAAGAAGTTGCCCACTGACCAGGTTAGGGAACTAAAATACCTCTGCATACTTTTGAGGAATCTCGTAACAAACTGGCTTTGTATAAGCATATGCAATCATTTCAGACCTTGACATTTTTTGATAGTACATTGTTATTTTGGCAAGAATGTCAATTTTGCCCATCTCCAATTGTTCTTGAACAGAGAATGGCTTGGAAGCCATTGCAGAAAGCATTTAAGAGTCAAACCAAATTTGTGGATCTAAATGCAGGCCAGACCAGAAGGCAAATTTCCTTCTCTAACGTATACTCATGAATTAGATAGGTTTTACAACAATGATATTCTCAGTAATTATGACAGTGAAACTAGTTTTCAATTCCACATTTAATGATTTGAACTTACCATAGCAGCTAGTGGAATTTATGCGATCCATGATCCAGATATGACCCAGCATGTGTATCCAGTCAGAATCTGTACTGTGTGCAGGTGTATGCACCAGATCTGAGTCATTACCTAAGGAGGTGTTGCTACTGATTACAGCAAATTAATTACCAATATTCAATAAAAATGAAGGTACCTGTATAATGGTTAGCAATGAGGATCATGTACACTTAGGTTTACATTGACATCTTGCTGTTCTATGATGGCTCAAAAGCTTTAGAATCAAGCACAGGGCTGGTCTCAGTATGAATTTCCCAAAATAAAATGGTTTAAAATCCTTTCTGATCAACTCAAAATCCTGTGTGTTCTTTTTGGTGGCTGTCCTTTTTTTAAAACCAGATTCTCCTCCCTGTTTTCTGTATGGTGAGGAACAATTCAGAATATTTTGCCTATTGAGATCTTCTCAACATTTCAAGGAATCACACAAATCTATGCCACAAATAGACCTTAAGCAAAGAACTCTCAGGATTTGGAGCAAAGGCAAGAAAATGGAGTTGAGGTGCTGATCAACTACAATCCCTTTGTTCTATTGTCATGTCACAGTATATTTCTGACAGTCCAGCAGTAATACTTTGTTAATATGTTGTATTGTTTTGTTCTTTTTCTGGAGTGAAGAGAGATGAAGCAATATGCAAACCAGTGGAATGAAGACAAGTAACCACAGTGCTCCCAGCCTAACCAGACCACACGGATTATGACAGTGACATGAATTGTTTTTGCCTTTAGAAACGCTGCACATGCTCCTACACTGAAGCAGTTTCAACAATGCTGGAGCCTTTCTTTCACTGGAAACCACTGAACACTTTACTGAAATGACCATATGGCCTGTTGATCCCACTAATATTTCCACTGTCAAACTGGTTCCTGATGTTATTATTTCTGTTTGATCTCTGCAATTGCATATTACCTCTTAGCTGTATATTTCTGCTCAAGTTATATATTGTCACATCAGCAGTTACAGAATACAAAATGCCTTTCCAGGCTTCATCCCCTTCACACGATTGAAAAGAAAATTCATGTCACTTTTCTTTACAATTCTTAGAAATTCCGATTAAACACAGCAATTTATAAATTGAACATTTTGATCAAGAATGTGTATTAAAAAGCATCCAGATTACAAAGTGTTGTTCAAAGAGGAAATTCTCAGGACTGTGCTAGCATGGTTCTAACTAGTTGCAGACAGGTATTTGCATAAAACACACCATGACTTGGACTAAGTCATTTCATTAGTTGTATAATTGACATTAGGAAACATGATGTGGCACATTTGTACATATTTTAATCAATATCCCCACCTCTCATCAGGAGAATTAGTTATGTGTTAAAAAAAGTATTTTTGTAGATTTCAGCTGCAGTCTGTACTCAGCACTCATTTGGCTGGACGAACTTCAGTCAGTGATAGAGAGCGATAGGGTTACGGGTAAGCGGGGGTTTTAATTCTTAGTTCTTTGCAGTAGAAACATCAACATTAGTAAGATCAGGAATCTAAGTAAATCAACAGAATCCAAAAATGGTTTGATTGAATGGATTTTCTGTTAGAAACGCTGACCACATATTGAAAATGATATTTACTCTCTGCTAAGTCCAAACCAAATGCACTGCACAATAGGTAATTTTAACTACACTTCAACATCAATAGTTCTCCCCTAAATGGAGCTTCCAGAAATAATGATTTGGTTGCAGTGCAGAATTTACATCATCACCAAACCTTCATTCATTTACAAGCACAAGTCCTCACCAACATAAAACCTTGGTTTCTTTCTGGTAGGACACATGCTCCATTGAAAATAATCCTAATTCATTTTCAAATTAGTAATCTGTTTTCCCTTTCATGATCACTTCATCCTTAAAGGAAACATCATGTTTATTGTTGGATAAACTGCTGACTAGGAAAGCATATACTTTCCTCTATGACAATGAAGTTAAAAGAATGCTAGCTTCTGTTTCTCACTCCACTGTTCTGGTGAGTATTTCCAGCATTTTGTGTTTGTAATTGCCGTAAGGGAGCAGAACGCATGGGGTGTGGAATGGAAATTCTCCTTTTTAATGTCCAGGATATGTTTCTGCAAACTTGGGAGCTCAGCCAGCTCCACACCAAAGCACCAAGGCTAGATGATTGCATTCTGTCCAGTTGCCTATAAGCCTGGGTGTTGGTTCTTAGTTTAGTTTATAAAGAATTTGCATGTTGTTAAATCAGAGGACACCTTTTAGTCCTGTTTCTTTTGCAGGCTGTCTGCAGCAGTCAACACCACTGAAAATTCTCTCAGCCTTCAACTTGCCCACTTACAGAACAATTTGGCTTACTTTATATTTTGCAAATACTAATTTTTTTTAGCTAATTGACATGAGCGGCAACATTAAAAGCAGCAACTAACAAAAGTCTCACTCAGTGGCCAAGGCATTGGCCTGTAGTTAGATTGCATGAAATGTTAGACCCTAGTGCACAGAAAGGGCAATGTTTCCTGTCATATGCTTGGTGTATAGCTCCAACTATAGAAAGTTAAATTACCAGAATTTTTTTATTTGTAGAGATAAGTTGTTGAGTGGTGTGGGAAATTAAATGTGGGAATAATTTCCTTCAAAGATTTTTTTTGAAGGATGTGGATTCCCAAGAACTTAGAGCTTTGGTTTATCTTTCTGATAATCCCAGCGCTGCTCATCTCTGGTACTGACAGCATCATACATGTCAGAAGATCCCAGTTCAAATGAAGACCAGTTACTATTCTACAACTTTTAATATTAATTCCATTATTGGTATACTGATCTGCCTTCCCCCACCATGCAGATTACTGCATTCCATTTGCTTCCTTTCCTGCCTATATTTGAGAGCTTTTGAACTGTACAGTCAATGGAAAACTCCCACACAATTTCATTATCAGAATGAGTAGTAGGTGGGAAATAAAATAAAAACACAAGTGCTAGCAAAACACTTTCTCCACAAGTGTTGCCAGACTTGTGGCATTTCTCTAACACTTTTATTTTTATTTCAGATCTCCAGCATCTGCAATACTCTTATTGAATGATGGGAATCTTTACTAAAGTCCTCAAATGGTGATCATAGCATCACAAAAATCTAAGACCCCTCTCTAAGAAGCTGGTCTGACTGCCAAAAGTTTAATATTGCATTTGAGGATGAAAGAGAGCATTATAATGATGTAGAGCATCACTGTAGAATGAGCTGTGTCTCACTCACATTGCCATTGCTGCAGTTAATTGGCCACCTCTGACTGACTCATTCGGAAGGGAGGCCTATAAGCATATTAACACATCGCCGTGCTAAAGTTACTTGCTTGTTTGTTATTTATGTTGAAATTTTAACAACGTTGAGACAGAGGCTGAAGCTGCGGCTGGATCTTTTAATATACGCAAAATTAGTTTAAAATTATATTGTACACTGATTTGAACTGTTGCAGATTTGGTGTAATGCCACAAAGTGTTTCATGTAACTAGAGTGAAGCCCATTAACTAGAAAGCAACTTTTTGGTCAAATGATGTTGGGACTAGAAAAGTTAAACGATGTGGGCAGCTGGGTAGGCAGTTCTTGGAGTCAATGAAACAACAGTAGTTACCTCATTCTTGAGTGGCTGAATATCCTGACAGACAGTACCAAGTACCACCCACCATTACACATTTCCTGATTGGTGAAAATAGTGTGCCCACCACGTCATAGGGATACCTCAAAGATCTGCAATCACCTCACTCTTTTAGAGCTTAAGGTTTTTTTTCTATTCATGAGTGTCACTCGTTAGGCCAGCATTTACTGACCATCCCTAGCTGCCCAGATGTTAGTTAAGCGTCAATCACATTGCTGTGGGTCCAGAGTCACATGAAGGCCAGAGCAGGTAAGGTCAGTAAGGGCGACAGTTTGCTTCTCTAAATGGACATTAGTGAACTGGGTATGTTTTTCTGACATTCAGCAATGGTTTCATGATCATCCCTAGACTCGTAATTCCACATTATTTTTATTGAATTCAAATTCCATTATCTGGGTCTCTGGATTAATAGTCTAGTGATAATACCACTAGGCCATTTCCTTCACTATTGGGTCAGTTCATTATTGGGCCTAAAATCCACAGATGTTACAGCCTTACTTTTGGCTTGAAACTACTGACAACACTAATTAAGGTATTAAGCTGAACTAAGTGTGTCTGTACATTATTTTGTACAAGATCAGTTCTGAAGCTACCATTACTGACTCATAGCGTATATACAAGTTGCTCTAAACTACACTTTTGAGGCTCCTCTGCAAGTACACGACCAGTGTCGGGATCAGTCACGTGTCCTAAAGTTACCTGCACAGCCTCATTCCATTGAAGTACTTTGTCTTATGTAAATTTGAAATAAAAACTGTGACTGACTTTTTTATGACTTGCAAAGAAAATGCTAAATAAAATAATGTTGCAAATACCTGACATGATTTGTTGCACTCTGCAATCTCTAAACATTCTAATGGATATAATATAAATCAAGTTTCTTTTTAATGTACATGGACTATAATAGACAATAAATGGACCAAAGAGCTGGATGTCGAACCTTGTCAAGTCAGTATCATCATTCCTGCCCTTCCTTTCTCTTATCTCCAATAATAATAATCCTTTCCAAAATGCAGTTCAGAGATAAGATTTATTCTTGGACATGTCATCTGCTTTATAATTCCAAGAGCAAACATTGTTTACTGGGCAGGATCAAGGGAAAAGTACATGACAGCAGTTTAATTGGAAAGCCAAAGCTAGAATTAGGTTCAGTATAGTTGAACAGAGTACAGATTTTACTGCTACATAATTGGGTTATTATCTTCTGTTTGAATTTCTTGCAGCTGGGTTTACACATTCTAGCAACAGTATTTCAACCCAAGAGGGAGATGAACTTGGTCTAAAAATTCCTACAGATCGGCTGTTCAGAGTCATGCGAGTTAGCCTAAACGAATTAAGGCTGAACGGGACTCTTCCTTTTTGAAATATTCAGCAGCCACTCAGGTCTCACACTAGCCTTTTGGCAGCAGAATCATTTTCCCAATGATCTAGGGTGTACATGAATAGCAACTGAATTCAAGGGATGGGAGGAGAGGAAAAAAAAACTGGCAGGGATTCAAGTAGCTTTTGATCCTAAACCATGAGCAACTAAATGTTACTACTACAGAGCAGTCATTGACAGAGTATGAACTCAGTGAAATGCAACTAATCTAGTATGATACAGCAGTCAAACAAACACTTTACTATAACTAAGAACCAGCATCACAATGGCAAATCCCTTAAACTACTTCTCGGATATGTGTCTAAGGTATTGCTTTCTCATTCTAAACATGGAGCTATTATCATTGATCAAACTTGATTTATTACAACCCTGTTTGAATAGACTTCCTTTCCATGTGTACATTTTCAGAATCACCATTTGTTCACTTATTTTAAGCAATCCCATTGTTTATTTAGCAAAATCTTTCTGCATGGGAAAAAGTAAAGGGAAATCCCAGTACTGTCTTTTAATTCTCCATTTATAGCTTGGATGTCACAGAGGTCCCTTAGTTCCACAACTTGCATCGCTCAAAGCTACAAGTTCCACAAATGCTACCTACAAATACCCTATCCTCAATGATGGAGTAGTCCAATACATCAGTGCAAAAAATAAGACTGAAGCATTTGCATCAATTTTCAGTCAGACGTGCCAAGTGCATAATATCCATTTCAGCCTCTTCCAGAGGTCTACAGTATCACAGATGTCAGTCTTCAGCCAATTTGATTCACTCCATGTGGTATCAAGAAGTGGCTGGAGGCACTGCACAAAGGTTATGGGCCCTGACAACATTCCAGCAACAGTCCTGAAGATTAGCGCTCCAGAACTTGCTGCGTCCCTACCAAACCTGTTCAAGTAATGCTATAATAGCATCTACCCAACCACGTGAAAAACTCATCCAAGTACGTCCTATACACAAAAGACAAATCCAAACCAGCCAATTTTTGTCCCCTCAGTAACATGACGGATAGGGTCATCGACTGTGCTATCAAGCAGCACTTGCTTAGCAATAACCTTCTCAGTGACATGCAATATAGGTTCCCCAGGGCCATTCAGCTTCTGACTTCATTACAGCCTTATTGCAAACATTTAGATAAAAGCTGAATTTGTGAGGTGAGCGTGACTGCCCTTCACATCAAAGCCACATTTAACCAACTACGGCACCAAAAATCCCGAGGAAACCTAGACTCAATGGGGATCGAGGGGGAACCCTCCACTAGTTGGAGTCATACTTGGCACAGAGGAATCTGGCTGTTGGAGGACAGTTAGCTCTAGGACATATCTCCAGGAGTTCCTCAGCATGTGTTCAACCCAACTAGCTTTAATTGCTTAAATAATCTTCCCTCCATCAGAAGTGGGGACATTCGTAGATGATTGTACAATGTTCAGCACCTTTCATGACACATCAAGTACTGAGGCAGCCCATGTACAAGTGGAACAAGGCCTGGACATTGGAGTTGGCAAGTAGCATTCAACAAGTTTCATACAACGACCATCTCCAGTAAAAGAGAATCCAATCATGCCCCTTAATATTCATTGGCATTACTGTGGTTGAATACTGCATTAACAACATCCTGGGGATGACTGTATTACGAGAAAATGAACTAAATCAGCTATACAAATACTGTAGCAAGAGGTGGTGAGAGGCTAGGAATCCTGGAGAGAGTAACTTACCTCCTGACTCCCAAAGGCTGTCCATTATAAGAGGGTGTGCGCATGCGCGTGCGGAGAGAGAGCATGTGTGTGTGGACTCAGGGCGGGGATTCACTGAAACAACTACATAGCGATATCAACAAGTTTCATCCAACCATCAGACTTACCATGGACTACTCTTTAGAATCAGTCTCATTCTTGGACACATGCACCTCTGTCAGGGACGGACACCTCAGTACATCACTCTACCACAAGCCCATGGATAACCTCACGATGCTGCACTCCTCTAGCTTCCACCCTAAACATATTAAAACAGCCGTCCCCTATAGACAAGCTCTGTTCGGATGAGGAGGAACGTGGCAGACACCTGAAGAAGGTGTTGAAGGACGCCCTCACAGGAACAGGATACGATGCTCAACTCATCGATCGCCAATTCCGACGTGCCACAGTGAAAAACGGTAACGACCACCTAAGACAGACACGGGATACAACCGACAGGCTACCCTTCATCATCCAGTACTTCCCAGCAGCAGAAAAAGTACGCCATATTCTTCGCCGTCTTCAACACGTTATTGATGACGATGAGCATCTCACAAAGATCTTCCCCATGCCTCCACTTCTCGCCTTCACACAACCACCAAACCTTAAACAGACCACTGTTCACAGCAAACTACCCAGCAGCCTTCAGGACAACATCAACCACAAAACTATACAGCCCTGACATGGTAACCCCTGCAGGACATGTCAGATCTCAACATGGACACCACCATCACACGTGGGAACACCACCCACAACATGCACGGCAGATACTCATGTGACTTGGCCAATGTTGTCTATCTCATACGCTGCAGGTAAGGATGCCCCGAGGCATGGTGAATTGGTGAAACCGTGCAGACGCTACAACAACGGGTGAATGGACACTGTGCAATAATTGCCAAACAGGGATGTTCCCTCCCAGTGGGGGAACACTTCAGCGGTCAAGGACATTCAGCCTCAGACCTTCAGGTAAACGTCCTCCAAGGCAGACTTTGGGATACACAACAAGGCAGAGTCACTGAGCAAAGGCCGATAGCCAGGTTTGGTCCCCATGAGGAGAGTCTCAATCGGGATCTGGGTTCATGTCATACTTCAGGTGACCCCCACCGCACTATAGACACACACACTCCCACACGCCCCCTCTCCACCCCCCCACACACACCTGCTCGCTCACTCCCATCCCCCCCCCCACAAACACACACTCCCCCCACCCCCGCTCACTCTCCGTCCACACACACACACACGGTCCCTCCACTCACCCCCACACCGCCACACAATCACTCACACTCTCCCCACCCACACACACTTTTGCTCTCTCCCCCTACCCCACACACACTCTCCCCACCACCTCCCACATGCACTCTCCCTCTTCCGCACCCCCTCCATCCCCCATGCACATCCACATAAAACTATGGGTAAATTTGTATTTGCTGATACATTCCATTTTGTTCAAACAGTGCACAATTTATAGACAGTCAGTCAATATGGCGTTTTATAAATTCCCACTTTAGAAATAAAACCAGTCTGACTCCAAACCGAAACACAAACAGATTCTAAACAAGGCCTCACACCTAACATACATTGTCTGACCTAAAACGTCACCTCTTCTTTACACTGATAGAACCATTAGCTCTCTTAGGACAGTGACTTGCAAGAAATTCGGGGATTTATATATACATTAATTAATTTAAACTTTCTAACTGAATAAACAGCATGTTAGGTTTGTTTAATACATCCTCATCAGTGGTGTGACCCTTTGATCTTTCACTTAAAATTCTGTGCCTGATACCAACGCTCTCACTGACAGCTGGAGGAGGATTGAGGCTCCAAAAGCTTGTGCTTTCAGATAAACCTGTTGGGTTGTAATCTGCTATCATGTGATTTCTGACCTTGTCCACCATCCGCAAGGCACACATCAGCAGTATGATGGAATTTGCACCACAGCTAAATATTCACTCCCTCCAATACACTGTGGCAAAAGCGTGTACCATTTCCTATCTCTGCTAACATCAGTTAACTGAAGAAAGACATCAGATCCAAAAATGATAAAGACACTCCGTTCCATACTGACTAACGCAATCACTAGAAATGGAGGAACAGTTATAATTATTGGCCTTGTTAGGAATATATGTATACATAATACATGATGTGAAATTGAACGACGGAACTGGACGTTTCTGGCTTAAAGAGGCTTTATCATGTAATATCTTCAAAATAGAATGTCTAAAGGCCAGAATGGATTATTTGCTGTTTACCAGAAAGCATGTAATTTTGTTAGAAAGAGCCCAATAATGGTTTTTAAGAAAACAAGATGCATTTTCATAGAATTCCTACAGTGCAGAAAGAGGCCATTGGACCCATTGAGTCTGCACTGACCATTCAAAGTGCACCCCACCATATCCCGTAACCCAGCATTTACCATGGCTAATCCATCTCGTCTGCACATCCCTGGACACTAAGGGGCAATTTGGCACGACCACTCCACCTAACCTGTACATCTTTGGACTGTGGGAGGAAACCATTGCACCCAGAGGAAACCCCTGCAAACACGGGGAGAATGTGCAAACTCCACACAGACAGTCGCCCGAGGGTTGAACTGAACCTGGGCCCATGGTGTGAGCCAACTGTGCTGCCATTTTGTTATGGAGTAATTGCAGGGCAAACAAACTTGGAGAAACCTTGGATGTGGGTCAGGCTGCTGTTACAGACGCAA